GACTGTGGGAGGAAACCGGAGCACCCGGAGGAAACCCATGCAGACACGGGGAGGATGTGCAAACTCCACACAGACAGTTGCCTGAGGTTGGAATTGAACCCGGGTTCCTGGTGCTGTGAGGCAGCAGTGCTAACCACTGAGCCACCATATATATCAATCAGAAAGCTCCAAATTCCACGCCCAGTTCAAGCCTTCAGTTGATTTGAACTGAAGCAGTTGTAGAGATACACTTCCGTTTCAACACTTTTGGGTTATGGAAAAACTGCCTGTTTCAGATGGGTTATCCAGCAATCCTTGAAAGTAGGTTGGAAGTTTCATTGAATATTGCAACACAGAATCAAGCCAGCCAGTGTTTTGCTGTCACTAGGCCAGGCAGCATCAGAGGAGCAGGAAAGCTGATGTTTCGGGTCGGGACCCTTCTTCAGAAATGGGGGAGGATTAAAGGAGCTCTGAAATAAAGAGAGAGAGGAGGGGTGGGGCTGGGGAAGGTAGGTGGGATGGTGATAGATGAGTGCAGGTAGGGAACGGTGGGGATTGGTCAGTGCGGTGGGAGGAGCGGATAGATGAGAGACAAGGCGGCCAGGTCAAGGAGGCGGGGATGAGAGGGAGGGTTGGTCATGGGATGAGGCCTGGAGTGGGGAGATTTTGAAACTGGTAAAGTCCACATTGAGATCATTGGGTTGTAGGCTTCCAAGGTGGAATATGAGGTGCTGCTCCTTCAGTTTCCAGGTGGCGTCATTGTTACATCTCACGTATCGTGAGGACAAGGGGTTTCTGACTTTGTTTTTGTTGTGGGGATGGGGTGTGAGGGCAGAGGTGTGGGAAACACAAGAGATGCGGTCGAGAGCATTTGCGACCACTGAAGGGGGGAAGTTGCAGTCCTTGAAATACGAGGACATCTGGGATGTTCGGGAGTGGAATGCCTCATTTTGGGAGCAGATGAGGCGGAGGAATTGGGAGAAGGGGATTACATTCTTGCAGGAAGGTGGGTGAGAGGAGTTGTAGTCTTCAGTGATCAAAAATGCTCTCAACCACATCTCTTGCATTTCCCACACCTCTGCCCTCACACCCCCTCGTCACGTAACACCCCACTAACCTCCGGATTCAACGTATCATTCTCCACCACTTCCGCCACCTGCAATCTGACCCCACAACCAAGGATATATTTCCCTCCCCACCCCTATCTGCCTTTTGTAGGGACCGCTCTATCCACGACTCCCTCGTCTGCTCCACACTCCCCACGAGCCCCACCAGCCCCTGCAACTGCAGGAAGTGCTACACCTGCCCCTAGATCTCCTCCCTCACCTCCATCCAAGGACCCAAAAAATCTTCCGCATCAGACAGATGTTCACCTACACATCCGCTAATGTGGTATATTGTATCCACTGCTCCCGACGTGGCTTCCTGTACATCGGTGAGACCAAGCGGAGGCTCGGAGGCCGCTTTGTAGAGTGCCTGCACTCTGTTCGTGACAAACGACAACACCTTCCAGTAGCAAACCATTTCAACTCCCCCTCCCATTTCCTGGGTGACATGTCCATCCTGGGCCTCCTCCAGTGTCACAATGACATCACCCAGAAACTGGAGGAGCAGCACCTCATATTCTGCCTTGGGAGCCTACAACCCAATGGTCTCAATGTGGACTTTACTAGTTTCAAAATCTCCCCACTCCGGCCTCATCCCATGGCCAACCCTCCCTCTCATCCCCACCTCCTTGACCTGTCTGTCTGCTCTCCCACCTATCCGCTCCTCCCACCTCACTGACCAATCCTCACCACTGCCTACCTGCACTCACCTACCGCCATCCCACCTACCTTCCCCAGCCCCTCTCCCCAACCTATCCATCTTCTCTCCTACCTATCTCCCTCTCATCCCCATCTCGTTGACCTGTCCGTCTTCTCTTCCATCTACCCGCTCCTCCCACCACTGCCTACCTGCACTCCCCTATCACCATCCCACCTACCTTCCCCAGCCCCACCCCTCCTCTCAATTTATTTCAGAGCTCCCTTCCTACTCCCCCATTTCTGAGGAAGTGCCGCGACCCGAAACATCAGCTTTCCTGCTCCTGTGATGCTGCTTGGCCTGCTGTGTTCCTCCAGCTCCACACTGTGTTATCTCTGACTCCAGCATCGGCAGTTCTTACTATTTCTTTGCTGTCACTGGTGTTTTTTCCCTATGCTAATTATACACTCCCCTGCAGTTTAAATTCCATTTGAATACAATGCTCTCTCTAACTTTTTTTTAAAAGCTTTCCTCAGTTTTTTGAAGGTGAGTTGCTGAAATGTATTTTTTGTAGTTGAGGCTCGAAAGCATTGCCGTTTTTCAGCAGAGGGGAAATAAGTACAACAAACTGAACCTCTCTGCTCCTATGATGCTGCTTCGCCTGCTGTGTTCATCCAGCCCTGCACCTTGTTGTCTCGGATTCTCCAGCATCTGCAGTTCCTACTATCTCTCTCCATGGTTGTTCTGTTCAGGAAGCCAGTTATTGTCATGAACTTTTTAAACTGAATATGTACTTCAGAGAAATGCCTGAAGACAAACTTTTGAGCACTCCTTTGGGAATTTGTCTGTTTTTTTGTTCATTCATTTAGTAATCTCAGGTATGCTTCATTATAAATTGCAAAGAATTAATTTGGAATTCAATAATATTTTTAAAACTTTTACAGGTTAAAGCCATAGTTGAGTAAGACTTCAGAGAAGGGTTCCTATGCAAATCATCACTTTTTGTAATAAGGGATGTGCACATACTTAGTGCAATGTGAGCCTTAACTTGTTTGAAAATATTAGAAGCTGTGTGTTGTTAGAGTTGCCCTGGGGCAAGGAGCAGTCAGATAGCTATCAAACAAGTTTTGAATTAGTCACGATTACATTTTAAAACCTGTTCTTCTCACCAGATTGCTTAACATGCAATAGTTGAGTAATTAAATATGGGCAAGTAACACATTTCCATTGCGTCAAACCCATTGCATATTTACTTTTTTTTGTACCCCTCTTCCTCTCCTGAAGGTGTTGACTTTTTGCTGAGAACGGTTCTAACAACAGCCTGCTAGTATCCAATGTCTTTAACTTAAATTAAATTTGTTGCTGTGTTAAATTAGCTATTACCAAGAACATTTGCTTTCAGTTGTCAATTTTTTTATTTGTGGAAAGAGTTAGAATCATAGAGCTGTACAGCGCGGAAACAGACTCTTCAGTCTAACTTGTCCATGCTGACCAGATATCCTAAATAAATCTAATCCCATTTGCCAGCATTTGGCCCATATCCCTCTAAACCCTTCCTATTCATATACCCATCCAGATGCCTTTTAAATGTTGTTATTGTGCCAGCCCCCTCCACTTCCTCTGGCAGCTCATTCCATGCATGCACTGCCTTCCTTGGTGCCCCTTAGGTCCCTTTTAAATTTTGCCCCTCTCACCTTAAACCTGTGCCCTCTAATGTTGGACTCCCCCATCCCGGGGGAAAGACCTTGTCTATTTAAACTATTCATGCCCCTCTTGATTTTATAACCCTCTACACGGTCACCCCTTAGTCTCCGACGCTCTAGGAAAAATTGTCCCAGTCTATTCAGCCTCTCCCTGTAGCTCAAACACTCCAACCCTGGCAACGTGATTGTAATTCTTTTCTGAACCCTTTCAAGTTTCACAACATCTTTCCTATAGCAGGGAGACCAGATTTGCATGCAGTATTCCAAAGTGGCCTAATTAATGTCCTGCATAGCCGCAACGTAGCCTCCCAACTCCTATACCTAATACACTGACCAATTAAGGCAATAATACCCAATAAGATAACACAATGTGGAGCTGGAAGAACACAGCAGGCCAGGCAGCATCAGAGGAGCTGGAAAGTTGACATTTCGGGTTGGGACCCTTCTTCAGAAATGGACCCTGTTGTCCAGGTGTTGCTGCGCGCAGGCATGGACTGTTTCATATGTTTGTATACATACCTATCTCCCAACCCGAAATGTCAACTTTCCTGCTCTGATGCTGCCTAGTCTGCTGTGTTCTTCCAGCTCCATAATGTGTTATCTCTGACTCCAGCATCTGCAGTTCTTGCTATCTAAGAGTGGCAAATGAGTTGTTTGATTATATTCTTACTTTTCTTTACAGGAAAGCACTTGGTGATGGAAAACGAGCCATTGTATTGAAACCTAATTGGCCCAAGGTTACTTTATTTTCCGTTTATATTTCTCTCACTGCTGCTCATCCACTGTGTTTGTAATGTGTTTATCATTATAGCCCAGATAATGTTGTTTTCAAATTTCGTAAAGATAACACGTTGAGGGCAAACTTCTGTTGAAACGAAATGCATCATATTATTCCTGGAATCAACTTGTAATCCATATGAAAAAAAATGCAAATTGTGATGACATTTGCATTCAGACCTTATTTGATAAGGGTGGTGTAACAGAATACATATTTTAAGAGGTCTAGTTTGAATGATGTATTATAACTTACTCATGTATTAGTTGCTAATGACTTATGGCTTGTAGGATAGTTTTATTGTACCCTATGCCTATATCATGATGATCAAAGCAAACCTTGATATTGCTAATGTCTGTAATTCTTTTCAGCTTTAGAATTTGAATTAATTCTAGTTAGTACTTGTGGTTCAAGGCCAAGCTTGAGGATTTAGCTTATGAAATGTGAAACTGACAGAGCTCATTTATGACCTTGCCACTCCTGACTAATGTGATGCTCTCATATTCACTCATTGCCTCTTTCCAATTGATAATTTCATTTTATTTTCTGGATGTGATGTTTGTTCCAGAAAATGTAACAGCCCTTATAACAACTTCAACTGATATTCTCGGTGAGCATGGAAGATCTCGCCGTTAGTTCCTTTTTGATTGGCTGAGAAAAGTCACCTCTACTTCAGTTTACTTAACCCAGCACTGATATAATGGAATAATTGAACAAAATTTTGTTCTTAGTCATGAATGGGATAGAGGCATAGTCAGCAACGCCAGCAATTAATGCCCATCCCTCTTTGTCCTTGAGTAGGAAAGTGAGCTGTTTTCTTGAATTGTTGCAGGGTCCAAAACTAGAGGACATAGGTTTAAGGAGAGAGGGTACAGATTTAAAAAGGACCTGAGGGATAACTTTTTCACATGGAGGGTGGTGCATGTATGGGGCGAGCTGCCAGAGAAAGTGGTGAGGTGGGTACAAATTACAACATTTAAAAGGCGTCTGAATGGGTATACGAATAGGAGGGATTTAGAGGGATATGGACCAAATTCTAACAAATGAGACTAGTTCAGAATGAGATGTCTGGTCGGCGTGGATGAGTTGGACCGGAGTGTCTGTTTCCATGCTGTGTAACTGTATCCGGTATAGTCAAATTGGGTATTCCAGAATTTTTGCCGTTACGGTAAAGCAGCAGCAATGTACTTCCAAAGTCAGGATGGTGATGTTGTGGAATGGAATCTGTAGGTAACAATATTTTCATCAGCCTGCTGCTCTTGTTCTTTTAGACAGTAGAGGCCATAGCTGTGGAAGGTCCTGTCAAAGTAGCTTTGGCAAGTTGCTGCAGTATATCTTGTTGATGAATCACATTGCAGCCATTGTATGCCAACTGATGAATGGAATGAATATTTAAAATAATGGATGGGGTACAATCAAATGGATTACTATTTTCAGATGACATCAAGCTCCTTGTACTCTCCAAGCAAATTTGGAATATTTCATCACAACCTCTGCTGATTTGTTCCTTATAGTTGATTGGTGGGGGGGCAGCGGTGGTGGTGACTTATTTGCCATAGAATACCTAACATCTGATGTTTTCCGAGGTGTTTATGCTGTTCAGTTTCTGGTTAGTGGTGGCTCCAAGATGTTAAGCATGATGGTGGGGATGCAGTGTAATGGTAATTCTGTTGAATGTCAAGGGGAAATGTTTAGATTCTCTTTTGTTGAAGATGTTCATACCTGGCACTTGTATGATGAAAATGCTTTTTGCCCTTTGTCAACTGTTGTCCAGGTGTTGCTGCACGCAGGCATGGACTGTTTCATATGTTTGTATACAAAGTGATATGGAAAAGCATGTCACAGGTTTTTTTTGGTTTGAGAAAATGGCAAGTTGCTATGTTCATGTGTTTGAAAGTGTAAATGAATGTCGTACACTTTTTTTTTCCCCCCTAGATATATCTTGTGAAAGCATTCTAGCTTCAAATTCTTACTTTGATTTTTAATTTTAATTTGCCAGGGTCATTATCGTCTGTGTGATGCCTTGTTTTCGATGGGAGAGCACAAACGAGCCATTGATGCTAATGCTAAAGCTCAGGAGTTATGCAAAGATGTTTCAGATGGAATTCGGGATTTAATTCAGCAGAAAGAAAAGTTCCTTAAAAAGCGAGATGAAAGTAATAGTACTTCTTTTTACATACGTACCTTTTAGATTTGGGCCGTACAATATTTGATAAAGACTGTCGCTGAAGTTTTTCTTTCTTAACACTTGCTAGATTAAATGTTCACATTACTGAACAGTGCACAATGATTATGTTGTAGTCACTGTTAGCCTATCCAGTGATATTCCAAGTTTTTAGAAATTAATCAAGAAATGTTTGTATTCTAAGTATTTAATTCAAAAGGAAATCGTAAATGAAACTTAATTTTCATGGTATCGGATGCAAAAATCTGAATGTTCCATTTATCATTTTGAAGTTCCATGATCCTTACGGTTGCAGCTATAAAGTGTTGATCATGGGTTTTTTTGTTTTTAGCTATTTTGAACCTTATGTCATGCTTGGATTCTACAAACCTGTTTTGAGTGTCTCTATTCTTGACAAGTGCCAACTGCAGTGCTGTTACCCTTACTTCTCATGTCAGATTCTGAATCAGGGTTATGGAGAGAAGGTAGTAGAATGGTGTCGAGAAACATATCAGCCGTGATCAAATGATGGAGCAGATGTGATGGGCTGAATAGCCTAATGCTGCTCCTTATGATTTTACTGAATCACTCATACTTTTGGGCTGTTTCATATTTTACCAATGCAGTATAGTATTTTAGGAACTTTTCATACAGAACTGTGCATTGATTGTAACGTGTTTTCAATTTCCTATTTCAGTTGCCATAGCTCTTGCTCTGTCTGACTCACATCTTCGTTACAGAGTTTAAACTGAAGCATTTTGGAACATTTCGTACCATTTCAGTGTAAACTTAGTCATTGTAATTGTATTATTTTCAGAGTTCTGAAATATTAATCCATAGACAACGTGGTGGAGAAGGCATATAGCATCATAGAATGCAAAAAGAGGCCATTCAGCCCATCGAGTCTGTACCAATCCTCTGAAGAGCATCCCACCCAGACCCATCCCCTGTCCCCATAACTCTGCATTGACCATGGCTAGTCCACCTAGCCTGCATATCCCTGGACACTACAGGACAATTTAACATGGCTAATCCACCAAACTGGCGCATCTTTGAACTGTGGGAGGAAACTGGAGCACCCGGTGGAAACCCTTGCAGACATGGAGAGGGCGTGCAAATTCCACACAGTCAATCAAGGCTGGAATTGAACCCAGATCCCTGGCGTTATGAAGCAACAGTGCTAACCACTGAGCCATCGTGCTGCGCTAAGGGATACTTGCCTTCATTAGTTGACGCTTGGAATGTAGGAGCGAGTATGTCTTGTCACAACTTTATGAAACATTTGTTAGGCCATAGATGAAATACTGTGTGCAGTTCTAGTCACCTCACTATCAGAAGGACATGATTGCGCCAAAGAGGATGCAGAGGAGATTCACCAGGATGTTGCCTGGGATGAAAAGTTTTAGATATGAGGAGAGACTGGATAGGCTGGGTTTATTTTCCTAGGAGCAGAAACTGAGGGGAGATTGAGTTATACAAAATTATGAGAGACATAGACAGTACGTCATGACGATCTTCCCCGTGGCAAACGTGTCTAAGACCAGTGGGCATAAGTTTTAAAAGTAAGTGGTTTAGAGGAGATCTGAGGAAATATATGTTCATCCCAAGGATGGTAGATGGTAGAATATGCACCTGAGAGGGTGGTGGAGGTAAGTAGTCTCACAGCATTTAAGAAGCATCCAGATGAGTACTTAAAATGCCAGGGCATAATAGGTACAGACAGAGTGCCGGCAAATGGGGTTAGTGTTATTTGGTGTTTGTTAGTTGACATTGACATGGTGGGCCAAAGGGTCTGTTTCTATGCTGTATGTCTAAGCAAAAAAAAGTTATTTGCTCCTGTAATGCAAAGTCTGGATTGGTTCCGTGGCTTCAGTCAGAAATGATGAGACTGATTGATTAACTCTGCATGATGTATCTTTATTGTCTATCTTTTGTGCGCACAACAGTTTTTAAATTTGCTTTTCTTTAGATCACGGAAGATCAAAGACTGATGGATTAAAAGAAGAAGTAAACACCAAAAGGTAAGTCTGCTCATATGGTACAGAATTGTGCCACCTTATTCTCAGCTGATGTAAAACTCTTCAAAACTCTGACATTCAGTTTGGTTATATGGTTGGCATAAAACTTCACTACAAGCTGAGTTTAAAGTAGTATTCAGTGGAAAGAAAGCTGCTGCTGGTGGCAGTTGCATCATTAGTTAATTGGATGGCTAGTTAGAACTGGTAGTTTTTTTCTCAAATAAAAGCAAAATACTTCAGATGCTGTAAATCGAAAAGATAAACCAAAAGTGCTGTAGAAACTCGACAGGTCTGGCGGGTCTGTATAGAGAGGAAACTAGAATTAAGATTGTTCTCCTTTTGAATTATTTTCCTCAGTGGGCAGTGAAGGGAGTCATTGAATATTTTTAAGACTGTGTTAGATAGATCCTTGATAGAGAAAGCAGTCAGGGTATATGAGGTAGACATGAAAGTAGAGTTGAGGCCAAAATCTGATCAGCAGTGATCTTATTAAATGACAGAGCAGGCCTGGAGGGGGCAAATGACCTATACCTCTCCCTAATTTGTATGTTCAATGCATGGTGCAGGTAAACCCTCAGTCCTATTTGGAATAGATTCACAGGTTTTTGGCTTAGTGTTATAATAATTCCAGTTTGGTGTAGTGTGTGGTTTTGAGTGGAACTTGTGGATGGTGGCATCCCTGTGGATCTCCTACCATTTTTCTTCAAGATAATAGAGTTGTTAGGTTTAGAAGGACCTGTCACAAGGTGTTTGTTGAATTACTGCAATGTATCTTGTTTTTAGCGTATACACAGCTGTCACTGAGCACAAGTGGTGGAGTGTATAAACATTTATGTGATGAATGGGATGCTACTGACCAAGTGGATTGATTTTTCTTGGATGGTGTCAAGCTTCTTGAGTGTTTTGGAAATGAACTCATCCTGGCAAGGCAAGAGTGTTCATTTGCTGCCCTGAATTGTGGCTTTTAGGTAGTGTACATGTTTTAGGAATTCAGGGGGCCAAGTTACTCGCCCCAAAATTTGTAGCATGTAACCTGTTTTTGTATTGTGATATAAGTTGTGAGATTTGCATATTAATATCATTCATTTTAGAGTTTGGATTTTGAACTCGTGGTTATGTGGGTTAGAGTTTTGTCTGCAAGGGGATTTAATAATTAACTTGTATTCCTAAGAGAGTCAGTCAGTCCCTGGAGTGATGATGGGAATTTGTTTGCATTGTGTGATGAGACTGACAACATATTTAAATATATATAATATGCATTTTAATATTGTTCACTGCAAGTTTGGATTCTTGGAATTCAAAATTATACATATGTTTTTGTGTGTTAGGTGTTGTTAATCAACTTTGGAAAATAAACTACAATACCCATAATTCTAAGCGAGATGATGTTACCTAGAGTGCATAGGGAACTACCGAGAGGGATAATAGGAAGAATTTTTAAGATTTTAATTTTTTACTCTGTGTGGGGAACCGTTCGAGAGAGAAGCATGTATCAAGCTTATAAGTGTTGTGAAGTCTTGATGGAGTAACATGCGCTGAGCATTCTTCCCAAGAAAAGAAATTTAAAGGAAGTACGTTGTATTAGAATAAGATGTTATTATTAATCCCAGACAGAGAATTAGGATACAGTTGGTGGAAGAGAGGTGAAGTTAAGTTTTTGAATCTGTCTTAGGGATAGTATAGCATTGGAAAGAAACCTCAGGAGCATAGTAATTAATGAGTTACCAACAGTCCCAGCAGATGAGTTCAAATTTTATTTACTTCAAGCCCATCACAGCATATAAAAAAGAGCTTCTCCCTTTCTCCCTTGGAAATGAGCTAGACTGGGTCTTTCTAGAGGTTTGCAAGAGGTGTTTTTGTAATTGCAGCATTTTGTAAGCTGTACTAGGATGTACTGATTTTGATACAAAACTGTTTTTCTATTCAATCTAAAAAGAATGCTTGAGTTGTTTCCACATTTGTTTAAAAATCTTTGAATCTGTGTCATAAGAGAATAGATTTTTTCTTGTTTATGTATGTTCCTAGTGTTAATAAACATTTGTTATATTTTTGTTAAAACATAGGCTGTAACACTGCATGGTTATTAAAATCTTCAGTTTAAATTACCATCTATCCAGCTAGGTTCCTGTTCGGGATCTGACTGGTCTAGTACTAACATTAATTGGGCATTTCCCATAAAAATTTGGGCCACAGTGTTGACATAATATATGATTTTATCATTGGACAGCATGGAAATTGAAAAGTATTAGCTTGCTTTCAGTTTGCAAGAATGAGGAAACGTTTTTGCTTAAGTCCAGAGTTTGGAATGCTTTTAGTTTCATTTCACATAAGACCGATTCGAAGGTAGGTATAAGAAACAGTTTCTCCTGAAGAAAGGCATTAGTTTAGCACAGTTAAGAAATAGGTTACCTTAGTGTAAGAGTTTTAGTTAGAATCCTGAAGGGCTTATTTGAAGATGAGAAAATCTAAGACTCAGTAGTGTGAATAATCAAGAGGAGGGTTGTCAAACGATCAAGACTTCAAATTGCAAAACATAGGGTGTTGGTTTATTTTTGAGAATGAATGAAAAATTAATCAAGTCAGTTCTTCCAGAACCATGGTTTTAAACCAGTGTGTGTCTGAGAGCAAGTGACTACAAGGATTCCTGGTATAGAAGTTTGTTTACACTGTGCAAGTTTACAATGGGAGTGAGAAAACATTAAGCCATTAACTTAGTAAAATCTAGGATGAACTTTTTTTTAAAATTTAGTTCAAAAGCTTGGACTGAATTTGCAGAAGACCTGACTGAAGTTAGATTCAAGTATAATCTCCTAGTAAAGGCGATCAAGAGCCATTGGCGGAATAACTTAGTGCAAGGATTTTAATTTGTGAAAATTTCCAGACCAGGAGTATTTAGTTAGAATTCTGCAGATTATTTAGAGCTGAACATGTTTACATTTTCCATTGTGTGAATATTCAAAGGAAAACCTTACAGGACAGGAACTGAGAGAGCAGTTGAATCTAACCAATTGGACACGGAACAAACATTTCTCTGGATTTTGAGTAACTGTAAAGTGATGGTGTTGAGGTATAGATGGAGTTTTGTTTTTCTCTGTGTTTTGATATCTTTCAAACTGTGATATATTGAGATAGCTTAATTTGTTTTACTATGTTTTTCCTTTCTCCTGTGTGTAATAAAATTTTATTATTACAACCAAATCGGCAGCCTGGAATGCTTATGTTTCAATGAAAGTCCCCCATCTTAATAAAACAACAAAAAAAAATCAATGCAGATTTCATTCTGGGACTGATTTGTTCGATAGTAACATCACCTGGGATCGTAATATTTGTAAACTGTATTTTCTCCAGAGAGCAGTCAAAGGTACCGACTAAGCTAGTATTTGAAAGCCACAAGAATGAGTCCAAGAGAAGTCAGGAAAGAAATGGAATGAGATCACGTCTTCCACAACACCCAGAAAAGGTGACTAAACACAATGTAATATTTAATTATTGCATGACTGAATACTCAACTTCTTAACATTAGGATCTAAACACATTATCAAAAAGAGATCTGTCAATGTTATGGCAGTGGTAATACTCATAATACTGTCTGATTTGTCATTTTAATTGAGCCGCATGCATTCTAACTTCACAAAAAGATTTTACTGCGCTCTCCAAAGCCCAGGGGTGTGTTGACAGGCAATGGAAAAGGCTGTAAAATTGGGCACTGTGCCATTAGAACTGTTCCTAGCACCTCCCTGCACTGCCACTGCAATTTTGCCAGTGACGACAGGTACCTGGAGGCCAATATAAGCCCTTATGTAGCTAATTAATAGTCACTCAAGAGCCTCCCATTTTTAACCGTGACAGGAGAGGCTCAGGCAAGGAGCATGGCCCAGCAGATTTTGCCAGTTAGGCTCATGGCTGATTAAATGTAATCACACATTCTCTTGACCTTCAAATTCTTTTCCCCTGCAACCCTACCCTCTTGGGGCCTGCCAGCCTGACACTGATAAAATTTTCGACTTACCTTAAATGTGAGCACCACTGCAAAATGTTGTCCCCACTACTGAATGCAGTCTGAGCAGTGACCACCAGTCCTAGTGCAACTTCTTGGACTGGAGAGTTAGTGGCCATTTGATAGTGTCTGATACTATTGGTAGTGGAATCTGCACCTTCATCTTTCATTGAAGCCAGGGAAAATTAACAACCAGAAGTGCCATACTTACATTAAAATATGTTGACAACATAAAATGTGTGGTACTTTTTCTATCCTATTTCACACTGTATACCTGGTGCAGGTTGATTGCATCTTTTGGTTTCTGTTGAACTAAAGAATGAATGATAATGTGAAGGGCAGTCAACAGCATCAATTTACATTCCATCCTTTAAAATAATAATAAAATGTCCTGAAGTGTTTCACCAGACCCTACAAAAATAAAACATTAACAACATAGTGCGATTTTAGGGCAGATGGCCAAAACCTAGGCACATTTTTAGGTTTTAAGCGAATTTTAATGGAATAAAGAGAGGCCATCAGGTTATGGAGGGAGTTCCAGAGATTAGGGTCAAGGTAACTGAATGCATGACCAACAATGTTGATGCAATTAAAATTTAGGATACTCAATCGGCTAAAGTCAGATGAGCGTAGATGTCCTGGAGGACAGTGGAACTTGAAGAATTTCCAGAGACTGGGGTGGAGGAATGAGACCATATAGGAATTTGAAAATAAAAATAAGAAGTATAAATTTTGAAGATGCTAAGGTGATAGCCTCTGATTGTTTTCTTTTGTTAGCCGCTGATGCCTGTAAATGACTCAAACAGCATGATTAACGAATTGAAGTCTCTAATTCATGACGGGTATATAGCCTTATTGGACAAGCGTGCCCACAATGCAAAACATGCCTTCTTAAAGATTCTGAACCTAGTGGATCCTGAAAAACTAGAGGTAAGTTTATGATTATTCTGCCTGTGTTCCAATTTTGGATATTACTTTTAGATGTTAAAGGAAGAGGTGTTTTTGTAATTGCAGCATTTTGTAAGCTGTACTAGGATG